TAATACAACGCAAACAACTACTATAGAGGGTGTTTTTGTAAAAGATAAAAGTTTGGTGTAAAATTTCAATTTTCAAAAGATCCCAAATAATGAGATTTGGCCCAAATACTGGAAAAAACTAGTATTTGGGAATTTGGGATATTTGCCAAAAATATTTGCCAAATAATGGCAAATTGTATGGACAAACACTATTTGCCAAATTTTTCCCCAAATATTATTTGGGAAATGTATGGCAAACGGGCCCTTAGTGACCTTGAAACCTAAGAAAATTTAAATTCCTCGGTAAAATCTTACTCACAACGAAGAACGGTTCAAGTCTTAGCTCAAAATATTTTGGGGTGTTACAAAGAATATGAGCAGCTAAACACCACAATTATGGTCGTGGGAACCATGATCAAAACATAACGGCAGATTCTAACATGAGTAACTTTGTATTGTTAACTGCATATGTTGTTTCTACATTCAAAATGAATGTCTTCTAATGTGTTCACACATTAGTACACGCCCGTATTCATTGTTTGTTCGAGAGAAAAGTGATGACTAGGAAAATCTAGAAACAAATTCTACTAACTTGTTTTAAAGATTAAAGCTCAAAAGAGGATAATCTTCTTAAGAAGCATGCAAGAGTAAGATTCAAAACACTCTAAGACCGAGAGGAGAAGAGTGAACATCATCTAATAGGGCTGAAAAACGTTTAGATGTACCTAACTTGCTATGAACATGTAAGGTTGACATTAAATTGTTATTTGTATAGAATTTGAGTTTGAGTTAAAGGTCACGGGAAACACAATCCTAGTCTCGCTAAATAAACTATTACATCTTGAAACTTTAACAAAAATTGGTTACCTGAGAATTCAAAACAACCCACTATTTACTTTTCATAATTAACTTCTTTCAAAAATATTTACCACAACTGAATATAAGCGTCAGTAAAGTCTATTGCTGCTGTAAATTCCAACTCTAGTTGAGTTCTATAATTGACATCGACCATTTATATTTCTTAATTGTGGTGTAAGTTTGGACGTATAAAATACTAAAAGACTATACCATTGTTACGCTAATTCCAATTGAAACTGAGCAGTCACTATTACCAAACGAACACTCAAGAACATATTGAAAATTCATTATTCACATACATGATATGCTTCCAATGTGAACCAGATACAACATTTACTTTCATGCGAGTAAAGGAAAACATAAATTGCTATCAGAAGGCAAGAGTGTTTATCTTGTGAATATTGTAAATCATAGGATGCTCGTTTACTCAGCTTGTGTGCCTATCTAACTCTAAATAAATGAGAATAAATAGATACACTATACTTTTTTCTGCCCAACATTTTCTTCAAATAAGTCAAAATGATTATCTTAATAAATTAGATAAATTTCAAAAATAAACTACCCATCAAAACCCAAGACAATTGGGAGAAAAGGATAAAGAAAAATACATGCTAATGGTCTAATGCCACAAAACATCATTGAAAAGGTCTTCTAACACTCGTGAGATTCCATTGATGTTGCCTAAGATGTATGCTTTAAATGGTGCTCTTCTAGCAACCCCGTTTTTGTCGCTTTCTTATTGGTTTCTCCATGAAGACTTGTTTCCACTTCTGAAGAAACTATAACTCTTAAGTGATGCAATTTACTGAAGAGACAAAAACGTGGAAAAGAGGTAGGTAGAAGAAACAACTTGTGTTCTTTATTTTCACACCAATCAAATGGAAAAATAGGAGAAAAGCCCAAATTTTGAGAAAAATGAAAAATATAAGTGCTGGCTATAGAGAGTGCGACATAACCGCTAACTGAAGAAAAAAAACTTCTAGAGGACAATGTAGCTACTATCAAGAACATCATAGAGGTGAGTGAGATGGCTTCAAATTTAACTTACCTTGCACCAACTCGCATGATTTGCAGACAACACATGGCGAGCCTGATTTTCCTATAGTTATTGTTTTATCTGGTGCTTCTAACTTGACACCTCTACTTTGTAATTCTCATTTGTATGAAGAGTCATGTTGTATTCTGAAACACCGTAATGCGTACAAAATCTAATTACAAAAATATAATTATTATTATAATTTTTATAATAACAATAATATACCTCAGAGGTAAAGAAATTATATCTAATGGATCGTCAATTCAAGAATGGTGTAATATTTATTAGATTTTTTTTTATTGTTCACCCTTAAGATCAACACATTGATTTGTGGCTATGATGAGCTCTATTTTCCATATCAAATGTGTAAGGATTCAATCAAAAATAGGAGGAAGAGAAATAATATGACCCATAATTAAACATACATTCTAACTCTTGCTATAAAAGTCAAATGAAATGCCAATAAATTAATCAAAATAACAATAGTTGAGTAGAGATCTACATTATGCTTAGGCAAACTTGTAAAAATACCATCACATAATCACAAGTATGTCCCGATGATCACAATTTATCGAACAAATTATTATTTTAGTTAAAAAGTAATATAGTCTATACTCAAAATGACTAAATTTTAATCAATATTTGATAGAAAATACTGTCTGACCCTATAAATGTAATTGAATGATCACAATTATTCAAGGTTGTTTGTTGCAGTTTTATCAATAGCTATATATTTGAATTAGGGTGTCGAAGTGTTATGAAAGTATTTATTGAACAAAGATATTCAGTAATTAAACTTAAAGAGTCTAAAATAACTGCCCACCTAAATCTCGATCACATTTTTGCAGGCCAAAATTTGATTTGGAAGAGAAAGCCAAAGAAAAGTAGCCTTGAGATAATACCTTTTGAGTGAATTTTGAAGCCATTTCCAAAAGTCGTTGGCAATGTGCCTCTAGAGGGAATTTTTTTCGAACACTTCATGGGTGCCAAAATAAGCACGGCCTGTTCAGATTTGAAAGAGAAAGCCAAGAAAAAGAAGCCTTGTGATAACATATGTTGAGTGATTTTTGAAGCCATTTCAAGAAGCTGTTGGCAATGTAGCATTGTTTTGAACACTCCATGGATGCATAAATAAACATGTCGTGAGCATTTGGTTTCAAGAAGACGTTGGCAATGTACCTCTAGGGGGAATTTTTTCAAACACTTCATGGGTGCGAAAATAAGCATGGTCAGCGTACTTTCGAAAGAGAGAGCGAGGAAAAAGAATCCCTGAGGTAGTACATGTTGAGTGAATTTTGAAGCCATTTTCAAAAGCAATTGGCAATGTGCCTCTAGAGGGCAATTTTTCAAATACTTCAGAAGCCTTGAGATAATACATATTGAGTGAATTTTGAAGCCATTTCCAAAATCGTTGGCAATATGCCTCTAGAGGGCATTTTTTCGAACACTTCATGGCTGCCAAAATAAACATGGCCTGGTATTCAATTTTTCCGCTGAGAATGAACTTGATAATCACTTACAATCATGTTCTTCACTACTACACTGGTAACAATGATGTGCTGAATCAAGACGGTCTAGAATAAAAATACAAAATGCAAGTAAGTGTAGCACAAAAGATGAAGATTGCAATGAGGGAAGAAAGCAGACAATCAAGAAACTATACAAACCTAAAGCAAGCAAAGAATAGATTGGGAAGGAACAAATAAAGCATGAGCAAGCAAAGAAATAAACAATATAGAGAGACCAAAGAATGTCGAGAGCTGAAAGGTTACCTAGGTGTACGAAGAAGCGGAAACGACGCATCGCAACCGCGGACACGACTTATGTTTATTTTTAAATAAATCAAGGGCATACTTGGCAAAAATAAAGGGAAAATAGGAATCCTGGATTGTGGTAGTGCCACCTCATCGGGCTGAGGGTCCTCTTTGTTTTATATATATATATATGATAAGATAATATTTATTTATCAACTGAGCTTATATTTCATATAAAAAATAATAATACATTGAACTCCGTGACTAGTGGTTAGTACCCAAGTCTCAAAGTTATGAAATTTAATGTCCTGGAAAGATGCTTAGGGCCCTCTCGATGGGGTAATACATTGAACTTCATGATTAACTCTCATGGTTATATGTCGGTTAATGGTCTCTCTCACACATTAAAATAACATGGTTTAAATTTACGACATGATTTCCCATAGTTTTGCATTGACCTCTTTCTCATAATTTATGATACTAGATTATCAAGATTTGATATTGATTTACTTGCTCATGCATTACTACATTTTCAAACTTATCATGATTTATGCTTACGTTTTTATTCGTGTTCCCCATATTCAATGCATTCAAAGTATTGATGCATACTTGTACCTATATTGTTTTATTTATAATAAAGGGTGCGACACTTCTCCATTCGGTCGTGGCTAGATTGGATCTTTCGTTGTGAGTCTTCATGATTCGACGGTTGGATCACCTTTTATCAGTATATTTCTTTCATTTCATTTCAATTTCAGACTTATTTGTGGTTTAAGAATTTGTACCAACCACATCTACGTAGTAATGACTTGTGTCAGGCTTAGTATAGCTTGCACATTACAAAGTTTTGTATCAAGAATTCTCTTATGATGAGATATTATGATTTAGAATGTTTTAGCTTTATGATCGATTTCATATTGTATGCTTTTACTTTTCATCATTGCTTATGTCAAGTGGCTTGTTTATGGTATCTTAAGATCCTATTCACCATGTCACGTCTAGGAGTACTTTGGGTCATGGCAATACCTATGCGGTGACCAGGTGGCATGTTCGATAAATATGTTGAATCTTTAGTTGATTTTCGTGATTAATTATTTAGCTTTGTCTGAGGAAAATGGTGAAATTGAATATGTGAATTGACCTGACTGATTGTGGCTAGGCATAAAAAATTGATTATCTTGCCAAATAAGAAATTATTGAGACTGTTAATGACAAATCTTGCACAATATATATATATTCATAACACTCTCATTGCAAGAAGACAATACGGAAAGATAGACATAGAGAGTCTCATTCTTAACATTGCATGTATTCACAAAATAATAATAATAATAATAATAATAATAATAATAATAATAATAATAATAATAATAATAATAATAATAGACAAAATGTGTTTAACCAAATAACCACCTCCAAAGTCTTGTTGAGGTGAATGAAGTAGTTTGTGCTATTCTCTGGACATGTATATGTGATTCTTGCACAAAATGTTTATTACCACTGTCAAATATGTAACTTAACAGATTATAATGTGAAAGCCCTTTCTTTCTAAACAACTTGTCACCACCATGAATCTGTACGTCAAACAAGATAAATTTATTAGACAACCAAATTATATTGTATGTGTATATATATACATATAGCTTTAAGCTTACCCAATAAATATGTTCCCACACCTCATCCTTACAAGTAACATTATTGTTATTTTGGTTCCATTCATAACCAACAACTTTTAACAGATCCATGAATTGGTTTGTTTGATCTCTAAATTTTTTATACAATGCCTGCACTTGGGTTACACTAGTTTGTTTGCGTGTTTGATGATATAATTTTTGAACAATTCCTGCCCAGTCTAGTTGGTTGACGTCTTTCTCATGCATCACCAATTCCACATATAGGATTGTGATGAGAAACTCTGTCTCATTTTCGTTCCATGGTTCCTCCCTGCGGCGAATCTAATAACACAAGCAAAAACATAAATGATGCATATTCACCAACATAATTTTAGAGGATGATTTCTTTTAACTAGTACCTCTTGTTGATCATCACAACTGTCAACCTTCATTTTAGATAGAACAACAGCCTTTTCCTAATCAGATTGAGGACATGGAAATCAAATAAGATATATATACATATATATTCTGAAGACTGAAGAGATTGAATGAAGACAGATAATATGAAGCAGTCAAACCTTGTGTCCATCAGAATCAGAATGATGGGGTTCTTCTTCACAACTAGTCTTTTTCACTTTGGTCGGTTTCTGTAAAAAAGGATTAAATCTAAATATTTGCATGTATCACTTAAACATATATATAGATATATAAGCCCTTACATCATCATCTGAACTAGATTCTTCGGCATCATCATCAGAGCTAGACAATTCTTCGGCAGCATCATCATCCTCCGCACTAGAGCTGCTATCATCATCCTCAGAACTAGATGATTCTTCCTTTTTAGAGACGCTGGCATCGGTGCTTGAGTCGTGATTATGATCATTCTTACTTGAAGTTGCAACAAGCTTGGACAATTAATTAATTATACAGCAATAGCATGAGAGATGAGTTAGTTAGCCAAAGTGTTACTATATATATAAAAAAGAATTGTAGATATAAGAGGTGTAAATTACTTCATTCTCGTCACAACTTTTGCTGCCTAATTTTCCATTGTTGGAAAGAGCCGGCTGTGTATGTATATATATGAGAATTAATGTTAGGACTTATGTTGAATATATGTGTATGTATGTATTGTATTACCTACCCTTTTCTTCTTTCTACTCTTATCAATTTCATTCTCAGCTTCCCTCTTCCTGTAAAAACACACACACACACACACCAATTCAAATATTTATTTATAATACACAAACAGAGCAAATTAATTAAGAGCCAAACCTTTCTTCATCGCACAATTAAATTAAAATGTACAAGAAAAACCTTCTTCTTCATATAACTTATATATACATAATTGGAATAGCAACTGAAACATCATTAGAATAGCAAACGTTTCATTAGAATAGCAACTGAAACATCATTAAAATACCACATTATTACACATCCCTATCAATACGCAAATCTCTTTTTCAATTTCACTTGTAAACTTTATATCAAATTGTTTTTAATACAATTATTACTCTAATATTTTATTTTATATTTTTAAAAAACATAGGGCCACGACTCATGACCCAACAAAGACTCCAATAATGAATTTAACATTGTGGACATGAATTTTTATTTTGTTAAATCATATTAATTGAATCCCTCATGATCACCAAAACTTGCAATGCATTTTAGAATTGGTCTCACCATCTTTCCTATTTAACATTGCCACAACTAAATTTTATTCAAAAGAAGTCACAACACGTATTGCTCCAAATAATTTTATTTATTTATTATACAAAAAATAAACCATCACTTATACTTGTTCAGTTTTAAAAATTAAGAAATAATTGAGTATTTATACTTATTTTTATCATTATTAATACAATTTATTTTTCAACATTTGGATGAGTTTCCATATTCTTTGTCTACTTCCTAAAAATATATATGGCCAAATTACTTGTTTATATACAAAATCAAGGTAATATTAATTAATTTTTTTTTCTATTTTAGCTTTAAAACTATCTAATATCTATTTAGAATCTGTATCGACAACAATACTTACTACTACTACTAATAATAATAATATAGCCCCAAAATCATAAAGTTAAATTACCAAAATATCCACTAAAACTTAAACGACATTTTTTCCCTCATCAAAAAACTATTCCTAAATCGTATACTCTCTCCGTCTCTTTTTACTTGTCAAATTTTGGCTTAGCACATCTATTAAGAAAAATAATGATTGGTATAATGAGTTTACTATTTTACTCCTATTAATTAATAGATTTCTAAACATATTTATTCACTACATTTTTCAAAGACATTAACTCAAACAAATAAATTGAGGGCATAATAGAAAGAATTTTTTTTTTTGTCATTTGTCAAAAATAATAAATAAAAAGGGAAATTAAATTAGAAAATATTTGACAAATAAATAAAGACGGAAGGATTATTATTTTTGTACCAAATCGTGAAATAAATCAAATTAATTTAATGAGAACAGTTTCATCTTCAAGCAATAACTATCCAATTGATTTATAAATAAATAAACAGTATAGTATTCTTTTACATACCAAACGTTTTCACTTTTCTCTTACATTAGACTTTTGACCTGTTACAATAAATTTTACACTATACTATGTTTTCACTTGCGCTAAAATTCATGCACGTATGGTTTATTCTTTTAAGTTTACAATATTGTCTCTTATAGTTACCATTCCAAAGTCAGGTTCAGTGAATCTTTAGTAAAGTATTATTCCTTTTACTTATTTTTATATGTCTATTAATTGAATTTTTTATTTTATTTTTATTTAGATACTATTATGTTTAACATAATTTTTTATTTTTTTTATTCTCAATATTAATGATTTATTGCTCAAATTATTTTTCAAAACCTAAAAATATATCAATTTATATAGATATTATGATAAATACTCATATTAGTTACCGTTTCTAAAGAATACGTATAAAGCTAGTTGTATACTAAAAGTGAATGGGGGAGTAATAAATTGAACAAATAACGCACATTTGAGAAGATACCGATAAATAGGTTTGTCAAAATTATAAATATCTTTTCTTAATGAGACTTTTCACTTTTTAGTTAAGTTGTATTAATAACTCAATTACATTTTAATTATTATTTTACGTAAGTTTTAATATATTTGTAATTGTACTGATTAAATAAGATGTCCATATGTCACATATATTATAATAGATTCTCTTTAGAATTTGTTCCAAAAAGTTAAACACACGCTTAGATTATCATGACAGTCTATTACATACATTTACTACTTAAAATTAAATTTATTTATTCTGACGTGACAAAAAAAAATATATATAAGCACCTCAGTTAAAAATTAAACTATTTTTTAAAAAAATCAATCAGAATCCTCCTTCCACCTTTAGCTGCTTTTTCTTCACAACTAGTGGCGTAGCTACAAACATCCTAGGGTGTTTAATTGAACACTCTTTGTCAAAAAATTACGTTGTATATATATGTCAAATTCTACATTTAAAGAATATATTTATTTAGGGCCCGTTTGACCATGCGATATGGTATCATGATATAGAATCATGAGATGAAATTGAAGTTTTGTTTGATCGACATGCTATATGGAATTTTTGTGTTGTATATTTTCTCATAAACATAAAGATCCCACAAGTTGTAAAACTATTAAAATAGCCCCAATTGTTTATTCAATCTTATCAAATAAACAAAGATTTATAAAATCACATAATAAATTATTACAAAGCTATTTGTTCTCCACTTAAATAATTGTTTCATCTAACTTTAATTAATAAAAAAAATTGAACATAAATTGTAGTGTACTAGTCTTTAATATAATCCTCCCACATAGTATGAACAATTTCCTCACGTTGAACTTGCATTTCTCGATCATGTGACCGAAAAGACGAACCAACTTTGTTACTTTGAGCCATTTGTTGATCAATATCATCCGCAACTATATTTTCATGCTCATAGAACATAAATATTTCATCAGTACTTTGGTATTCTCGCAAATAATTATGTAACACTACACAAACTATGACAGTTTTTACTTGTGTATCAATATCATAATGGTTCATGCCTTGTTTCAGTATTCTAAATCTATTTTTCCAAGCTCCAAAAGTCCGTTCAATCACATTGCGCAGAGATAAATGCCTATAATTAAACAATTCTTTGGGATTTTGAGGCTCTCTTTCACTTCCTCGGTAATCTTGCAAATGATAGTGTAGTCTTTTGTATGGAGCTAAGAATCCTTTTGTGTTTCGGAAATCAGCATCAACAACATAATATTTATCTACCAACAAACATTTTATAAAGAATTACTAAAAGCATATGTGACGTAAATAAGACAACTTTGTGTAAATAAATAATATTTATTCTAAGGATGTAATTTAAAGTTACCATATGGTGGAAATGGAAATTGTGAGTTGGTTTCAACAAGTGCATTCTCAAGAACTTTACTATCATGTGCAGTACCTTCCCAACCAGCAACAATAAAGGTAAATCGCATATCAAAATCACAAGCACATAAGACATTTTGTGATGTTCTTCCTTTGCGATTACGATATGCTTATTGCACCGCTTTAGGAACCTCTCCTTCTATATATGTTCCATCAATCACACCAACACAATCCTATCAAATAAAAAATACATCAATACTAGTTTAGTGAACATAAAATAAATTGGAAGCATTATAGAATGCACTTCATAAAAATAATGTTTGTAAGAGTAATAAAAATAGTGCTTCCAAGACAATGCAAAGTCATAAAATAAATATTATCTCTTTACACAAAGTTGATAGGAAATATGTAACTAAATACTAATAACTTACACATAAAATATAAATGTTCACTTATTAATGCCATAAAATAAATTTATTACTCAACAATCGGTTGGTGTGAGCTAAAGTGACTATATGTTGGTGAGAATAATAAATTTTATGTCGGTGAGAATAATAAATTTTAAAAAGTAATGATGTGATTATAAATTATATTTACATATGAAATAAATGGTTAGTAGATATAAATATGGGGTTGTTTTAACAAAATATAAACTCGTGGATCAATTTTTGTATTAAAATATCTCAAATCATGATATGGAATTCCCATATAATTCCATATCATGGTTTTTGGAGAATATGGAATCACATCTCATGTTATGGAATCATGAGATGGAATCATCGTAAAATCGCATGGCCAAACGTTTCTACTTAATTCAGTTGCACAAAATTTGTTTGTGAGTCTTGTTTTTTTTATTAGTGGGTTTATGTTTTACCTAGTCAATGAATTATCTTCTTGTTTTAGTGGATCATGTTTACCACTTTCCTCTTGTTTTTCCATTATTAGTTAGTTGCTTTATTTTAGCTTAATTAGTTAACCGTATGCCTATAAATTGCAGTATGTGTTCTTGTTCAGTAGTAAGAAAATTGAGCACTTCAAAAATATTATTTTTGAAAGATGTTTCTTTGCCTTTCATCTCTTGATCCAACAAGTCATAGTATGACTCGTGGTTTGAGACCATTGGATGTAGGGGGACTCGTACATAAGGATATCCCACCGTTCAAAAATTACAATGGTCAAAATTAGTCATGTGATAAACTTTTTAGCTATTGTTTTTGGTTATTATCTTGAATTTTTGGGGTAACATTCAATAAAATTATATTGCCAAGGATTTTTAGGACCTAAACTTTCTATAAGTGAATATTTTGTTAATAGGCACAACTCTTTAGGTTACATCATATTTATCATTTCTAATGATTTAAAAATATAAATTGATTTAAGACACTTGTCTTTCATTAATGTTATTAAATCAATTGCATTCACACAAATTCCTTTTGATATGCAACTATTTAATATAATCGACATGCTATTATTGTACAATGCACATTCATAGAAATTAGTATATTATGAACACAAGAATTTTAAAATGTTAACTGTTTATTGAAAAAAATCTTTAAATTGTTGATTGATTTTTCTACCCTTAAAAAATATATTTAAAAATATAAAATATTTCCGATAAAAAAATATATTCAGCCTTTTCTAATAATTTGAATATAACTAAAATTTTGCGTAGTGAATTGAATTCCTCATCTATCAGTCATGAATTTGATACTAATTCAAATTAATCATATCGTTAGACTTCTACTAGAAAAATGCTATGAAATTTAATATAAATTAAGCAAAAGCATGCCTATGCCTCTTTGCAGAGGTAGATATTTT